TAAAATCTAACAACCCCACTGCAATGGTGGGGAACTAAACCTTACATAGCCCCAAACGGCCAATCCTCAAACTAGCGAAACAGTACTCCACTCCTCAAACGAGGAGGCCGTCGTTTCGTGGTTGAATTGATGCGTTTCGTTGCTTGGACCACAAATGGCTGCAGAGGCCTCATCCGTTTGATCTGCGCGGCTTTGCTCCACTTTACCAAGAGAACCATATTACCCCCCATAATGGGAGAATCAAAAGGACAAGAAAATAGAACATGACATGGAAACTCGGATTGTGTAGATCTGATTCCAGGATCTGATTCCCAATTCCGAGTCGCACCCATGTTGATGTGATACCTACAGCATTGGTGTTGAAAATAAGGTGGTGTTGAAAATAAGGTAAGCTGCAAATTGTTTGTCCACTTCATGCACCCTCCCAGGCGTCAGAAAACTATCTATCGTGTGTTGTCTCTCGTGCCATTCTTGCAGTAGGTGCCATAGACATAATCAGGGTAGCGCTGATTTTGTTGAAGTCAGAATAAAAGCATGACATAGAATCACAGCATCAAGCATTTCAAGAGTGATTCCAATGGCTTCTCAAGTCCAAATTGCCGAACTTGCCTGGTCCCGTCACATCATGATGCAGATACACATTTGGAGCACCACTACATCTGATACAGTTGGTATCTGACCCCACAAAAACAGAGCAAATGATTCACGCCTTCTCGTCCATCATGCGAAGGTCCTTTTCCTCAAGTTTGCTGCCGCTAATGCACCAAATGTTGATCGGCAGCAGGCGTCTTGGTTGCCGACCGGATGAAATGAGGGCATCCTTACGTGCATAGGCTTGACGTGTGAGCTTGACATGTTCAGTCGTCGCATTCAAATGCCACAATGGAGCTGCAGCAGCAGCAGCAGCAGCACTGTGCATCCAGCGGGGTAGGCGATCTGGAAACTGGAGAGTCAAAGCCGCGCCTGATCACATGTTCCGACCCTAGTCCATGTGGCAGCTTCTTGCAAGTGACGGAACAGCGGCAGTGCTGCTTTCTGCTTTCCAAGACAAGTTCACATGTTGAGCTTCCACGGCCACAGGCTTGCATATGATGAAGCAACGCGATCATGGCGCTACACTGCACGAGAGCCTAACAGCACATTCTCCACTCTCTCCGGCCTTATGCTTCCCAGCGAAGGCGGGCTCGTCCCTTGCCTCTGCAATAGCCTGTAGGTAAGGTTCTGCCCAAACCACATCCAAGTCCTTTGCATTCCTACTACAGGCTGTCAGAAGCAGGCCTCGACTTGAACTCGTTCGGCAGCAGAAGTGGCCTTACGAAGGTACTCTTTTGACTGAGCTTAGGCAGCTTAGGTAATTACTGATATCCTTCGCGCACAGGATCTCTAGGCAATCCAAAATATTTGGATGCCGGCAGAAACCACCAAAGCCAAGGCGGAGGAGAGAAGCCAAAGGAATGTAAGGAGCGGACTGCGTTTCCGAGTCACGGCCTTTTTTGGGGAAGTTCACAGAATGAAAGCTCTGACAGGTCTCTGACAGGTTTCAAACAGCTGCTGAGGCTTCAACGGCTTTTGGCAGTCTGAGGCTTCGGGGACAGCACCTTTAGCAGAATTGGAAGTGCCCTCACGGCTGCAACCAACTTCACTGTGCTGAGCCCTGAACCAGCCCCGAGGCAGCAGACAAAGGACTCCGACCCGCCTGAAGCATGAACTTGCCACTTGTGGAGGGTTCTAAGTTTTCTTTCCACATGTCACAGGCGCTGGCGTCTGGGCTTGGTGGCTCTTTGCAAGGGCTGTCTGTGCCAGGAAGCTTCAGACTGCTCTGCATGCATTTTGCCTGGGAAGTTCATAGCCAAGAAACGTCTGCAGGGCATCGAAAGAGAAACCATGGGAAACACTTGCGAAACGCCAAGGGCCCAGCCAGCATCAAAGCTACCTGAGACTTGTATTTTGCGAGGCCCGAGATCAAGCCAGGTCAAAGGCTTCTGTGCTGCGCACACATTATACACATGACCTCTGAGCCACCCGCAGACTTCTCTTTCCTGTCGCTATCTGCAGGCTTCTCTGGTCTAGCATCGGGAAGGCCGCCCAAACCTCAACTGACTTGCTTCAGCTACCTTTATCAGTACAACACCTTCGACAGGAAAGCGGCTGGACTTTGAATTTTTCCGCTCCAGGGCCTCGGCCAAAACGAGTCATAACCAAAGGTCCAGATAATTGGGAAAAATGGGATTCAAGTTGCATGCACTTGGCTGCTTGGCTCAGGATTCCTCCCTGGCACCAAGGCCGGAGCTGGTGAAGGAACTGGTGAAGGAACTTTGGTGAGGGAGTCGCAGGTACTGACGGAGCTCACATGCCTCGTCCTGCCAGCACAGCCCGTGGCCCGCGAAGCACAAAAATGTCGACAGATGTCAACAGCATGGACAGGATCAATCAACACAATGGGATTTGCACTGTCTTCTTTTATTATGAGGCCTGCCACTTACTGAGCGAATTGCACCTGTTGTACAGTTTTCGTCCCAGCAGTCATTGTTGCACTTTGCGTCCCATCGCCGCTTGAAGGGAAGAAGCCTTCCAGGACAGGCTCCCTGCATGCTGAGCTCAGCGTAGCCCTGCGTGCTCAAGACTTCGGGTCCCGACCCAAATCTTTCGTCCGCACAGAATGGAGACTTCTGTTGGTTTTGGGACTGCCGTCCTGAGCGGACATCATCTTAGGGGCTTCTGCATCTTCTTGCAGAACTTGACCCTAACAATCCCAAAACAAAGTCCACCTTTACAGACCGCCAGCAAACGGTGCTTCTGCACGAATCCATCTTGGCACCGGGCGGTCATGAATGCTCCAGCCGTGCTCCGTCCTGTATGCCACCACGTTACACTTCCCTCTCCTCTCTTCTGTGCCAGGGCGTCTAGAAGGGGGTGGCATCATGTGCTCAGAAAGATGTGTTCAAGCAGCCGGTGGAGTGGATTCAGCAGTTTGCATGCATGAGCCCACGTGGTTTTCAGCCCGCCCAGTAGCCAGTGGCGAAAAACTAACCCTGCAATAATCAGGATGTGCTACAATCATCCATTCCCTGCCTTTTGGTGAGCACGAAGGAGATGAAGGATGTGTCGCCTGAACCCATTGGGACGCAGAAGCCAAGCTCCAGGCTACATTTTGAGAACACCTTCCAACAACTCTGTACCAGTAGCTCAACAAGCCTTTGTAGGATTCACAAGCAGCAATGCTGCAGAAGAGTTCGAGACCCGGTGAAGGCTACCAAGCTTCCCATCATTTTTTCTGTGCATCCTGAGCTTTTTGTCTCAGTTGACTTACGGCTCAGTAGAGCATGTTGCATCTATGTTGACAGAGCAGCCCCAAGCCAGCCTGGTCGGCTTGGCGCGGTCGTAACGGCCTTAAGCTCAAGCCATTTTGAGGAAAAAGCAAAAGGCAAATGCAGACACGCAACCGAATGTAGTCTGTTCATCTGCGAAACTTTGGCTCTGACAGTCTGGCCAATCCAGTAGCCCCTGAAAAGCTGCTTCTCCGCCTGCAAAGAAGCCCGGGGAAAGCGAGTCCCTATTTCGCCCACGCCCCTAACCTCCAAAAGGCCTCGAAGTGGCCTGGAAGCTCCTAAGCCTCTAAACCTCTAAGCTTAAAAAAATGCCCACGTCTTCCTGAAGATTCTAAGCCTGGAAGTCCCGAGAGGCCTATTCAAGCCGCAAAGCGTAGGCGCTTGCAAGCGACGCTTTTAGGCGCTTGGGTAAGTTCAGTGACTTTTAAGCGCTTTGAGGTGCCAAAATCGATGTCCAGGCACTTTGCCACTTCGAGGCTTTGGTGTCTCGAGGCGCTGACATAGGTGAAGCGGCATTTTAGAGCCTTACACGCTTAGCTTTTAGACGCTGTGCCTAAATAGTGGGATTGACTTTTACCCTGCAATGTGAAAGAAAGCCTAGCTCTGACTGATCGATTCACAGATGCGGAAAAGTCTAAGCAGGTCGTGCCTGAGCGTCGTCATATTCAGCAGCAAGGTCGTTACTGCATCTGGCCCTACGTTTCTATTGGAAAGCTGGCTTGATGATGATTTGATGCTCCCCACTGCTCCGTCCAAAAACATCATTCCCCAGCACGGTCTGTGCTGGGGCTCCATAGTCCTTGCATTGTGCCCCCGATGTCCCCGGCCTACGTCAGTTCTGGAGCCATCGGCCATGCTTCGTGCTTCACAAGACAACTGCGCCCTTTTGGGGGGAGGGTAGCAGTGTGGTGTATTTGGGAAATTTCAGGGTTCGTGGCTTCATGCCACACATGTAGCTAACAGCGACATGGTCTCGTCAAGGGTTTTTAGGAATGAATCAGCGCTGCAAATGCATCCCTGTTGGCCAGGTCTCTATTAAGAGAGGCTGCAACCCATCCCATCAAGGGCCAATGGCTCAGAGCCAACAGGCCGCATGATACCATGTCCCTCGGCAAAGCATGCAAAGCATGCCAAGCATCTAATCATGCGTTTTGCAGCCCATAGAGTGGTCTTCACCCCCTGGGCCGCCATCGCAATCTAGCAACACTTCTTGGATGCTTATGCTTACAGCCTTGCTGAAGAGAGCTCAGAGAGCTCAGAACTACGAGCAAGCAGAGTCAGAACCACTCAAAGGAGGCACAAAGCTCGACAAGCATGCAGAGGTCGCTTGGTTCCGGCGGCTCTAACAGCCGGCCAATCGCGTGGCCTGGAGGGCGCTTGAGGTAAACTGAGAGGACGTCTCACTGTGTCTCCAGCCTGACCACTCCTCAATGTCCAGGAATGGAATCTCCAGCTTCCCCACAAGGTAGTCTTGAAACCAGCCCTCGCGGAAAACACTCACCTCAAAAGACCCACAAGAAAGAGGCCAGTTGTACACGCACATTGAGCGTGAAGTCTGTCAATTCCATGTCAAGCTGCTGCCAGCACGGTGTCAACTCGGTGAACGTTGAAGCTGAAGTTGCAATCCCAGGTTGGATTTTCACCCGGGACTTTCTCAGACTGGAAGCTCTGTTCTCCGACGCGCCTCAGAGGCTCTGCTGCTCCTGCCCTCCAAGCTCACGGACTCAACCTACTGCACAACCAAGGTTCACTTCAGCAAAGTTGAAGCCAGAAAGCAAATACCTGATTTGGCAGAAAGGGCAAGACAAATCAAACACAACAAAAACAACACAGGGAAGTGCATGGATGCACCACGGTCTAACACACTGCCTGGATTTGAAACACGCGCAAGCGCTGGCTCTCGCTGAGCGGCTCTGGCACGGGGAGGTCACGCGCACGCAGCAGGCGAACCTTGAGCGTACCGATGGGGGCGGCAGGCTGTTCTGCATCCTCCTCCAGATGTCACATCAGCTTAAAACCAACCTCAGAGCTTGGCCTAATTCATGTTTCTGCAAAACTCTCAATGAGAAAGCACAAAAGGCGGCCTGTCTGCCCAGAAGGCTTTTAGAGAGCACGCAGGTGTTTGTGAAGATCCCTGCCGCATGCAACTCATTCGAGGGCGTGCGCCTAAGAATCCTTAGATGTCTCAAACCTGGCCACTTGGCCGACCATTACATGCACTTGGCATGCCGTCGAAGCGCTGAGTGTTATTCACCTTGGCCTCAAATGCCGACCTCAGGAAACACGGTGCGGAGGGATTGCCCAAGGCATGGCTGGATGAGCAGGAATCAAGTTTCGAGACAAGCAGCTGCTTCGCCTGAAGCATTAGCTCCAAACGACGCTTCTCTTCCTCCGCCTTTCGGACCCTCTCCTCCTCTTCCTTCTCGATCAAGGCCTTGCTGTATGGAAGCTGTCAACACCAGCACGTGTGGAACTGCTCTGGCGCGTGCCAGCATCCTATTCTCAATGGGGCCCAAGCCATTTGCGCCCGCCGTTCCTCCTCCTGCTTTTTGCGGCGCTCTTCCTCCTGACAGTTGGTTGGGGAGCAGAGTCAGCAAAGCAGCCTCAGGTGGCCAGAAACCACCACAGGAGCTGGCTGTGATGTGTGTGTAGATGTTGTGCTCCTTCTTTAACTCCTCCTCCTCCCTCCGTGTCCGCTGGTGGACAGACTCTCCCTGACGGGTATAGGCCCGCGTCAGCTTCTGATGGCAAACCTCCAGGAACTTGAAGGTCCGTTCCGCCTGATTAGCGGAGATTAAAGAGGCAAGCATATGTCATACGTCACCTATGCAGGGCTTTTCAAGCACGATTTAAACTTCGCCTCGGGGTGACCGTTCTTGTCTGGATGGAAAAGCAGACGCTGTCTGTTTAACTTGCCCTTCAACTTCTGCATCACCGGATCAGAGGGATCCATGGATCGGCTACTTGTAGGAGCAGGAAGATCAAAGAAGGCCCACATCTCATCCAAATTAATCCTGACACGTGATCTTCGTGCAGGTCGCGAATGGTGAATGAAAACAACACAAGTCCAACTTCCACTCTGGGACTGACATGCCGTCACATTAGGCAAGCGTCGGGTCTGTGCGCTGAACATAGGCCCGCAGGGACATGATTTTCTCTGCGGCCTTTTCTGCCTCTCATCAAAAAACACATAGAACACAGACACAACGCAGAAAGAGAGAGAGAGAGAGAGAGAGACAGAGAGGCTGCAATGGATGTGAAGCGGTGCACCTGCTCGGGGTTCATGCGGGAACCCACAAGTTCCTTGGCCTGGCTCCTGCAAGAGAATCTCGCTCAGTTGGCAAACACGAGGGCACAAGCAGCGTTTTCAAAGCAAAAGGAGCCCGTCCTTGGGCTGAGCGGCTTTGGCTTCGGCTTCGGCTTTGGCTTTGGCGCTGGAGGCGCTGGAGGCGCCTGGGGCGCAGCCGTGCCAGGCTGGGCAGTGCCTTCACAAGATGATTAGAATGGGAAGGCTAAGACGGCAATAGCACGCAATAACTTTCGAGTCAAATCTTTGCCGGCCTGTGGGCTCAGTCGGTTCCTCTCGAACTTGTTTGTGCGACGACCCCCTTTTGCAGATCAGGGCTGGAAGCGTCGTGAGCATTCCAATCCTGATGGCAGGCAACTGGGACAGTGCATCAGATGCGTTAATTTGCTCTGAATTTCACATCCCAATCAGTTTGCAAAACAGAGAAGTCTAACTGACTTGGCAGCGTGATGGTCTGGGTCTAGAGAGCTTTCCTGAAAAACATAAAGCAAAAACTTTGAAATGATAATCACTTTGAAGCAAAGCTCAATATGTGCAACAACCCTTGCAGACCAGCGTCAGAAGCGCCACAAAATAGGCAGAACGGTCGAAATTGGCAAGGTCGCTCCAAGCCTCCGAAACCCAAACATCGACTTTAAACACCAATGCTTACAGGTCACAACTCCCTTGAAGCTCTTGGAGTAGAGCTTAAACTGGATGGCACCAATAAGCAGATTTATTATCATTTGGCCAAACAAGAATTAGAAAGAACAAGCTGAAGACTCAGCAACGCTAAGACCCCTTCCCGATCTGCGGGATGTTTTCGTGCAAATGTCATCCTACCCATCCTGGGCAACGAAAGATCCTGATTTAAGATATGAGCTATATTCTAACCTCCTGAAACGGGTTATATAGGGGATTATTTCGGGACTTTTATAGGGACCGTTATACACTAGGCGTTTAGATTATAGCTCAAATGTCTCCTGCACTGCCCACCTCCTCGACGGATCCAAGCTGCCATGTGTCCTCTGTGAATCCCAAGCTGACGAGAATTCCTGCCATGATGCTAGGATGGGAGACCAACACGGAAAGGGCCAAGTTATACAAGGGAGCGCCGAGGCATGACAATCTGATTTCTGCGAAATCCAGGCCTATCAGACTTGCAAGCAGGACGATGACTGCAACGGAGGCCAGGTGCAAGCAACACGTATTCTCGTTTGCCATGCTCCTGCACAGCTTCAAGGCAGGCTTTGTTCAGCCAACAAACCGTGTTGACATGACGCTGGCCTGCAGTCTGCTCACCAGTATCTAGCAAAGTCCATGGCTTACACATGCTGCTGGAGAACTACGAATATGCAAGGTTCATGAAGTACCTGACCGCCTGCTTTGATTCCAGAAAGCTGTTGAGGCCCTTGTCACATAGTGGTCGAGGCGTGTTCAGAAATCTATGGCTGCGAGCATGCCACCCAAAAATATTCATCGAGGAAGGCTTCCTGGGTTGTTTACCAAAGGACCATGGGTCACGTACGCGTTGCCCCGTCCATTGTTTTCTAGGTGGGTCCATGGGCCCTTTCCAAACCAAGGAAGCACTTCTGATCGGTGCGGAAGGATTAAAGCTCAGGCCAAAGTGAGGATCCAGGGGTAGGGGTGTAAAGTTCCAAGACTAATAGCCATTAATACCTCGGATGTCCTGTAGTGATTGTTCCTTTTTGAGCAATCCCTTCCAAAATCTAACTAAATATTTAATGATTCGATCATCAATAATTTGAAACAATCAAATCGGCAACTCGTATATACAAATGTATAAAGTTGACAAAGTGAACATACCTGAATGTACTCCACTGGGCTGACATGTGCACATGTGCAAACTTGTTCTAACCACACAGTTTTCCTTGGAAAGCGATAGGGGAAGGTACAGGTACGCCTGCATTAGCTGCTGTTGCAAATATTGCCCCCGAACCAAGATCCCTAAGCATGAATCCAATGGGCTCCTCAGTCCACGCATGGAATGAATCAGGATTCACACGTGCCACATTCACCCTTCATCACTTCCCCGTGACAACGCCATCCACAAGGAGACCCTCTCGTCTCAAACCAGACGATGAACCAAACCGGACCGGATCCACAGTCTAACTTTTCAACGTCCAACACAAGATCCACGATCTTGCAGCCCACACCGTAAAAGTGGAAATCTAGGCGCAACGCTGCCTCGGAAAAAGTTGCTCCTACTCATAGATCTGAAACAGCATCTCCGCAGCATCAAGGCGGGGCGTTTTTGTGCGACCCATCTCTGCCCGGTTTGCAAACCTTCGTTCACCGTGGCATGCACATATTGCCATCACTTGGGCATCTATGGCCCGCACAAACACCTATCGACCTTTTGGCTTGGGCAATCCAAACCTATCAATGGGTGACACAACACTTGCTCCTGAGGCCACATCATTACCACCCTGTGACCTAGGCACGACAAACCTGACCGGCATGGCAAACAAGTAGCTGCGGAGCAAACCAACATCCTACTTGCAACATTCGTTCACCATGGCCTTCTTGCAAACACGCAGTCAGCATGGCATGGCAAACCTGCGCCTGTAGCCCCCACATTCACATATTGCTCTCTGAGCATATGTGGCCCAAACATGCGTCTGTTGACCTCATGACTTGGGCAATTCAAACTTATAGGTGCTGCAGCACCTGCTCCTGCAAGCCGCATCGTTGCCACCCTGCATCCTGGGCACGACCAGCACACGGTAACGTGGATATTTTGAATGGCATGGCAGACCTGTACCCGTGGGGCTAACGTGTGTGGCAGACCCGCACCTCTGGGGAGCTAACAAGATCCTGGCTTGCAAACCTTCATTCACCATGGCAATGCATAATATCATTTTTCTCGACTCTCCTCGTCCGAACCTCCCTGCAGGATCGGAACCCCGATCCGGACCTGGAACCGACCCGGACCCGGACCCACCCGGACCCGGATCCGGACCCCCGGACCTGGATCCAGACCCGCCCGGACACCTGCACGCCGTATTGCCAGCAATCCGGATTCGGACCGGTCTGCTCCCAGACCCTGACCCGACCCTTGGAATCGGGACAGACCTGGACCCCGCACGGTCATGACAGTTATGCATGTGTTAAAGAAATCCAAGTTCAAAAGCACTTCTATATTTCTCCACCAACTTTTCGATACCAACGATTATCCTATATTTTTTGACATAGCCCGGTAAATTCAGTGATGGTTCTACGTTTGCCGACACCAAACTTGCATAAGCCACGACAGATCTACATTGTTTTTGGAAGAGAACCATTCAACAACTTCTCTATATCTGTGTACAACAAGCTTGCAAACAATGACAGTTCTGCATTTTTCCCATTCAAAGCTTTTAGGGTGTGGGTTTTTAGGGCTGGGGTTTTTAGGGTCAGGGTTTTGGGGGTTAGAACTTTTCGGTTTAGGGTTTTTAGGGTTAGGGTTTTAGGGTTTTAGATTTTAGGGCTTGGGTTTTAGGTTTAGGGTCCTCAGGGTTCTGTAAGGCTGGGATTTTGAAAGTTAAGGTTTTTAGGGTTGGGGTTCTTAGGTTTCAGGGTTTGAGGGCTAGGATTTTTAGGGTTAAGGTCTTTCATGTTATTTGTGGGGTTACGGTTTTTACGGTCAATGTTTTTAAGAATTAGGGTTAAGGTTTTTAGGGTTAATGTTTTTTAGGGTTATGGTTTTTAGGGTTAGGGCTTTTAGGGCAAGCGTTTTGCGGGTTAGGGTTTTTAGGGTTAAGGTCTTTAATGTTTTTTAGGGTTAGGGTTGTTGAGGTTCGTGTCTTTAAGGTTTAAGGTCTTTAAGGTTACGTTTTGTAGGGATATGGCTTTTAGGGTCAAGGTCTTTAGCTTTAGTGGTTTTTGAGTTATTGTTTTTGCGGTTAAGGTTTTCGGGTTAAGGTTTTTTGGGCTAAGGTTTTTGGGATAAGGTTTTCAGGGTAAAGTTTTTAGGGTTAAGGTTTTTGTGGTTAAGGTATTAAGGTTAGGGTTTTGGGGATAATGTTTTTAGGGTTATGGTGGGTTAGGGTGTTTAGGGTTAGGGTTTTCAAGGTTACGGTTTTCAGGGTTAGGGTTTCGGGTTAGGGTTCTAAGGGTTAGGGGTTTTAGGGTTTGGGTTTTTAAGGTTAGGGTGTTTCCGGGTTAGGGCTTTGAAGGGTTAGGGTCTTTAAGGTTCGTGTCTTTAAGGTTAGGGTCTTTAGGGTTACGTTTTGTAGGCACATGGCTTTTAGGGTCAAGGTTTTTAGCGTTGGAGGTTTTTGACTTATAGGGTTTTCGGGGTTAAGGTTTTTAGGGTTAAGGTATTCGGGATAGGGTTATCAGGGATAGGATTTTAGGGTTAAAGTTTTTAGGGTTAGGGCTTGGGGGCTAGGGTCATCAAGTTTAGGGTTTTGATGGTTCGGGTTTTGAGGTTTAAGGGTTTTAGGGTTTTTAAAGGTTGGGAAAGTGTTTAAGGTTAGGGTTTTAAGGGTTAGGGCTAGTAGGGTTAAGGTTTTTAGGGTTAAGGTTTTTAAGGTTAGGGTTTTTAAGGTTAAGGTTTTTAGGGTTTTGGTTTTTAGGGTTTAAGTTTTTAGGGTTAGGATGTTTAGGGTTAGGGTTTTCAAGGTTACGGTTTTCAGGGTTAGGGTTTCGGGTTAGGGTTCTAAGGGTTAGGGGTTTTAGGGTTTGGGTTTTTAAGGTTAGGGTGTTTCGGGTTAGGGCTTTGAAGGGTTAGGGTCTTTAAGGTTCGTGTCTTTAAGGTTCGTGTCTTTCAGGTTAGGGTCTTTAGGGTTACGTTTTGTAGGGACATGGCTTTTAGGGTCAAGGTTTTTAGAGTTGGAGGTCTTTGACTTATAGGGTTTTCGGGGTTAAGGTTTTTAGGGCTAAGGTATTCGGGATAGGGTTATCAGGGATAGGATTTTAGGGTTAAAGCTTTTAGGGTTAGGGCCTGGGTGCTAGGGTCATTAAGTTTAAGGTTTTTAGGGTTCGGGTTTTGAGGTTTTAGGTTTTTAGGGTTTTTAAAGGTTGGGAAAGTGTTTATGGTTAGGGTTTTAAGGGTTAGGGCTAGTAGGGTTAAGGTTTTTAGGGTTAAGGTTTTTAAGGTTAGGGTTTTTAAGGTTAAGGTTTTTAGGGTTTTGGTTTTTAGGGTTTAAATTTTTAGGGTTAGGATGTTTAGGGTTAGGGTTTTCAAGGTTACGGTTTTCAGGGTTAGGGTTTCGGGTTAGGGTTCCAAGGGTTAGGGGTTTTAGGGTTTGGGTTTTTAAGGTTCGGGTGTTTCGGGGCTTGAAGGGGGTCTTTAAGGTTCGTGTCTTTAAGGTTAGGGTCTTTAGGGTTACGTTTTGTAGGGACATGGCTTTTAGGGTCAAGGTTTTTAGCGTTGGAGGTTTTTGACTTATAGGGTTTTCGGGGTTAAGGTTTTTAGGGTTAAGGTATTTGGGACAGGGTTATCAGGGATAGGATTTTAGGGTTAAAGTTTTTAGGGTTAGGGCCTGGGCGCTAGGGTCATTAAGTTTAAGGTTTTTGGGGTTCGGGTTTTGAGGTTTAAGGTTTTTTAGGGCTTTTAATGGTTGGGAAAAAGTTTATGGTTAGGGTTTTAAGGGTTAGGGCTAGTAGGGTTAAGGTTTTTAGGGTTAAGGTTTTAAGGTTAGGATTTTTAAGGTTAAGGTTTTTAGGGTTTCGGTTTTTAGGGTTTAAGTTTTTAGGATTAGGGTGTTTAGGGTTAGGGTTTTCAAGATAACGGTTTTCAGGGTTAGGGTTTCGGGTTAGGGTTCTAAGGGTTAGGGGTTTTAGGGTTAAGGTTTTTAGGGTTAAGGGTTTTAGGGTTAGGGTTTTTAAGGTTAAGGTTTTTAAGGTTAAGGTCTTTAAGGTCAAGGTTTTTAAGATCAGGGTCTTCAGGGTCTCGGTTTGTAAGACTATGGTTTTATGGTCCGGGTTTCTAGGGCTAGGGTTTAAAGAGTTAAGGTTTTTGGCGTTAGAGTTTTCAGGGTTTAGGTATAGGGTTAGGTTTTCAGGGTTAGGGTTTTTAGGGTTAGGGTGTTTAAGGTTTTTGTCGGGGTTTGAGGGCTAGCGTCTTTCGGGTTTGGGTTTTAGGGTTAGGGTTTCTAGGGTTAGGGCCAGTTAGGGTTTTTAGGGTTGCAGGTTTTTGGGGTTAGGGTTTTTAAGGTTTAAACGGATCCGGTCCCGGACCAAGACGGACCCAGATCCGAACCGGACCCGGACGCGGA